AGGGAAGTCGATTTGAGCATGTCGACGGAGTCATGTCGACATGCGAGTAGTTCGAGTAGTTTGTTGGTTGAGTAAGGAGCTTCCGGGACGGGTTATCCTTTTATGGCTATATCACAGGGTAAACATCACTCATGGAGATGATGGAAGGAAAACATTGCAGAATGGCGACACTCTACAAATGTTTGAAGAAAATGAAATCTTAGAAGGGACAACCTGCACTTTCTTCCTTGTGCAAGATGATGTAGACATGATCCAATTTAGGATTAAGATGTAGTGAGTGTAATCTGTTATTTAAAAACTTATTTGTTGTTGGTCTGATGGATGTTTTGTTATTATTTAATGTCATTTGGTATCTTTTGGTCTTTTTGTTAGAAATGTTTGTTAGTTATTCTAACCTAGCAACTAGATATATCTAACATAGCAGCACTGGAGAACTAACCTAGCAAGAAGATAGAACTAACCTAGCAACAATAAAAACAAACCCTACAACATGCTAGAGCTAACATTGCACCTGAATACATAAACTAGCAACATCAGACAACTAACTTTGCAACAACACAGAACTAACCTAGTGGGATGAAAGAAATAACCTAGCAACTTCAGATTACAAACCTGAACAGCATTTATAGACAACTACCGTAGCATCAATAGACAACTACCGTAGCATCAATAGACAACTACCATAGCAACATAAGACAACTAACATAGCAACTGGGTACAATTAAGCTAGCAAGTGCATAGGTGTAACCTTGCAACTATATAAAACTGACATTGCAAGTAAAAAATAACTAACCGCAACTAAATATATCTAACCTTGCACCTGAATATATCTAACCTTGCAACTAAATTTATCTAACAAAGCAACTAGATAAAACAAACCTTGCAACTAAATACGATTAACCTTGCAACTAGATATATCTAACATAGTAATGAAAATGTCTAACCTTGCAACTAGATATATCTAACCTTGCAAGAAAAGACAATAAACAACTAAACTAGCAGCAAAAGACAACTAACCTAGCAAGAAAAGACAACTAACCTAGCAATTAGAAACATTTAACCTAGCAGCAAAAAATAACTAACCTAGCAACAAGAAAGAAGTAACCTAGCAGAAATAGACTACTAACCTAGCAACAAGAAAGAAGTAAGCTAGCACCTACAGACAACTAAACTAGCACCTAAAGATAACTAACCTAGCAACAAGAAAGAAGTAAGATAGCAACATCACACAACTAACCTAGCAACAATAAACAACTAACCTAGCAGCACAAGACAACTAACCTAGCAAGAAAAGACAACTAACCTAGCAGCAAGAAACATTTAACCTAGCAGTAAAAACATAACTAACCTAGCAACAAGAAACATTTAACCTAGCAGCAAAAAATAACTAACCTAGCAACAAGAAAGAAGTAAGCTTGCAACAAACTAAACTAACTCAACTACTCAACATTTAAACTACTCAACTAACTTTGCAACTTTAAGCAACTAAACTAGCAACTACAGAATATTAACCTTGCATTTCCTTGCATAAAAATAAAACTAATATTGCATCAAAAAATAATATTTACATCAAAAAAATATACAAATCCAAAAAAAAGAAAACATTGTCACTGAAATCAAACTACAAGTCAATTGTCTTTGAAATGGACAGTCTTCACCCTTTTGGCAGGTTTCTTCTTTCCTCCAAACACATCTGCCTTCTTATCGTTTTCTGATTTCAGCTCATTGAATTCATTTAGGACAATTTCCGAGCAGTATTTAATACGCATTTGTTTCAACTGCTCAGGATTATCCTTTAGAAGACCAAAGTTCCAATTTTTAATGCCAGCTCCAAAATATGTTTCCATATGGCGCATGACGAACACTCCACAGTCTACTTTATTCTTCTCATCTCTCCATGGCATATCAAGTCTGACTGGCTTCAATTTGAAAACAAGTGATCCACATTCAAACATTCCTTGGAATTTCAAATATTCAACAAGTAGTTTTTTCTGAAAAAAAAAATAAAAAAAAGAACAATTATTAAAAATGTATTAACATTGCATGATATAATATTAACTGTATATGCATTGTTCTAAAATTAATTTAAAAATATTAGAGATTATTACCAGATTTATATGTTGATTTTCATATTTTCCACATGTAAGGCCACCAACAGTAGAATTTTCCAGTATGTGAATGTCATATGCTTTCAAATCAAAACAGACCACATACAAGTGATCACTCTTGCACACAGGAAAGAATATCTGATAAAAAATAAAAATTATATAATATTAGCATGTTAGTAACTAAATAAAATAATCATTTCCAATTTAAAATGAAAATTACCATATCAACATCTTAAAATTTAGAATGAGTTTTTGAATTTCTAAAATCATTATCCAAACTCTCGATGAATAAAAGGGCTTTGGACTTCAAATCCCATTTCTCCCCCGCAATCGAAACACTGTAATTCTGGAAACAAATGAAAAAAGTATTTATAAAATAATAAATCAAATTTAACGAAGTTAATCAAATATGTTATACAAATACCTAACCTAGCACCAAAAGATATCTAACCTAGCAACAACAGACAAGTACCCTAACAACTACTTATATCTAACCTAGCAGCACCAGAAATAAAACTAACCTAGTAGTAGTATACAACTAGCGTAGCAACAAGTGGTAACTAACCTAGCAACTTCTGATAACTAACTTAGCAACTACAGAGTACTAACCTAGCAGCATCAAAAAACAACTAAAATTGCACCTTCAATGTAAATTCAATAACAGGAAATACCAAAAACAAAAAAATATTAAAGCAAATAAGAATAAAATATATAAGTAAACTTACACTAGAATATGTTGATGCAAAAAATCTCAACGGCTGGCCAGGTTTTCTGGATTGTTCTCTTAAGTCCAAAATTCTGGACCAGGTATCAAGTACAGAGACACTGACATATTTATCTGGTCCTAAAGACCTGAGATCTTCTTTCATTAAAATTAGATCCTCATTCTGAAAATTATCTCATACCTGACAGCACAAAAATAAAAAAACAACAATAAAATATAAATTTGGAATTAATAAATGCAATAAAATGTGAAAATTATATTAAATTTCTTGGGTAAGAAAATATACATTGTCTCCTGGTCTTCATGCAATATCCAATTATATATTTCTTCATCTCTTGCACCTGCTTTTGATATGTTCATTTGTTTTGCAACATCTTTCTCTTTTGCTTTTTCTTTCCTTTTTGCCTTCTTCTCTTCTTTCTCTTTCTGCTTTCTTTCTTTCTCCTCCTTCTCTCTCTCTTTCAGCTCTCTCATTTTGTCTTCTCTCTCTTTCTTCTCTCTCTCTTGTCTATCCTTCACCTCTCTCTCTTTCAGCTCTCTTTCTTTCTGTTGTTTCTCTTTCTCCTCTCTCTGTTTCTGGTCTTCCTCCTCTTTCCTCTTCTTCTCTTGCTCCTCCTCTTTCCTCTTCTTCTCTTGCTCCTCCTCTCTCTCCTTCTTTTCTCTCTCATTCTCTTCCCTCCTTTTTTTTTGTCTCTCTTTCTCCTCCCTTTCCTCTCTTTCTTTCTCCTCTCTCTTTCTTTTCTCTCTTTCCTGTCTTTCTTTTCTCTCTTTTTCCTCTGTTTCTTTTTGCTTCCTCTCATTCTCCTCTCTCTCTCTCTCTCATTTCTCTCTCTTTCTCCTCTCTATCTTTATCCTGCCGTTCTTTCAACTGTCTATCTAACTCTTCATCTGTTTGATCCAAAAATGCAACAACATCTTCAGAAACTAGTTCTTCAGAAGATGGATGGTCTTCACCAACTGGTGCTTGGGAAAATTGCCTTGAAACATCTTCTCTCTCTATCTCTTTCTCTTTCTGCTTCTCTGTGACTTTCACTTTTTCTTTTTCAAGTGCCTCTCTCTCTTTCTTCTTCTTCTGTTTCTCAGCCATAAAGAGAGAGAGAGAGAGAGAGGTTGGTTCTCTATGATCTGTGGCTCAACATCATGATCAGTTGAAAACTGCCTTGAAACATTTAGAATGTCCTCCCAACCTCTGTCACTTTCTTGGGACTGGGAGGACAACCCCAATCCCAAGGAAAAACTGGGAACATCATCACCTTGTGTCTTCTTCTTGTATGCAGCTCTCTTCCCAATAGCACGCTCAATCTTCTCAATAGCTGCAATTGTTTCTGGATCATTCCAGAAAGCAGCTGTTTCTTCACTATCTTCAAAAGAACCTGTCTTCTGAGAAGATTGAGGTACATTGGGACTGACAGAAATAAGATTTTCCGTTGCTTGTTGTATCTTCTTGTAATTTAAATCTTCGGTCACTTCATGGGGGGCATCTTCAAGCAAGTTTATAACATCAACAAGATCAGTAGCCAAGCACATAACCTTGCTTAGAAGCTTGGATTTATAACCCTGTTTATACATAAAATTAAACAGAGTGAACAATTATAAGAATATAACATAGCAACAATAAACAACTAACCTAGCAGCACAAGACAACTAACTTAGCAAGAAAAGACAACTAACCTAGCAGCTACAGATAACTAACCTAGCAACAAGAAACATTTAACCTAGCAGTAAAAACATAACTAACCTAGCAACAAACATTTAACCTAGCAACAAGAAAGAAGTAAGCTAGCAACATCAGACAACTAACCTAGCAACAATAAACAACTAAACTAGCAGCTAGAGATAACTAACCTAGCAGGAATAAACAACTAAACTAGCAACTACAGACAACTAACCTAGCAACAAGAAAGAAGTAAGCTAGCAACATCAGACAACTAACCTAGCAATAATAAACAACTAACCTAGCAGCACAAGACAACTAACCTAGCAAGAAAAGACAACTAACCTAGCAACAAGAAACATTTAACCTCGCAGCAAAAAATAACTAACCTAGCAACGAGAAAAAAACCCATTACCTAGCAACAAATGCTCTCCCTTCTCTCTAACTTTCTCTCTCTACAAACCCATTTTCCCCATTTTCTATCCACTGTTCAGCCATCATTTCCGTCACATAGGCCTACGCCGGCGGGGATCCTCCGCCGCCGCCTGATCTACCTTCATTGTTCCCAGCCCACCAACCACTCATGAACCCGCCCACGTCCTTCACTACACCTCCACTCCCTCTGTTACAGTCCAACCTCTTGGAGCAACCTTCCACACGCACTCATCTTCCCCGACCACCCTCTTCAATATCCCTGGCCGAGCTGACCTCTTTGATTTCAGCGGAGGTGGCAAAGGTCCTTCAGAACCTTCTGCCGGCGAGCTCAAGGTTGGAGGAGGGAGAAATACCGACCTCATCATCCGACAATTCGATAAGCTTCTTCATCAAACCCAACCGAGACACGAGCGAGTCACTAGCCTCTGTTCCTCCCGCCGGCGATGGGGAGACCAGCCTCCAAAACCTGACATTTCCCCTCCAAGGATCCGGAGAGATCACGGCCGCCGTTGATGTCCACCCTGCTGGGCCCACTGACCTCGACCTTTCTCTTGGTCGATCGTTGGGGGATGATCGATTACACAGCTCGACGGGCTCTAGATCTTCGCTGGCAGATTTGGTCAAACACATCACGCCACCAAACCCTAATCTGCAGCTATCCATACGCTCCCCTCAGCTCAAGATTGGTCCACCTGTTAGGGCCTCCTCAACCCCCTTGACTGGCCCAGATCATATTGGGCCGAACCCGAGGCCCAAATTCTCTGCACAACCTCTTGGGTTCCCTAACCTCAACCCTTGGCCCATCCAACCCAGCCCTCTTTTGGTCCAACCCGCCACCTTTCACCTCCCTCAATCCATCACCTCAGCCCAACCCCGCACAACCATCTCAGCCCAACACCCCCAACTCGACATCTCAACCCAAAATCACTCCCAGGATATTGCCACTCCAAAATCTCATACCATCAGTAATCCGTCCAAGGCCGACACCTATCTTCTCCAACTGACAGGCCCCAGTCACCCAACCTTCGGCGGCGCCGGTGACGGTGCCACTGCCGGAAATCACCAACCGGCCGATAACCATGGCGGGAATTCTCTGCAGGCCAACAAACCAACCAAAGGCGTCCCGGAGGTGAGTCTTTCGGCCGGAATTCTCGGAACTAGGCCAAAGTCACCTTTTTTTTCGGTCGAAACGATAGAGATGATATAAATAAATCCAAAACAGTGTCTACAACCAAAGAACGAGAAACTAAAACAGAAACTGAGAGGTACTACGCAGAGTACCTAGAACCTCAACAACAGCTAAACTAAGAAAGAAAGAAAAATACAAGGAGTAATGAATCTCTCCACTGCCATAAGGCCTAGCTAGATATCATTATCACCAACTGATAAAACAAAGAAAAAACAAAAGGAAAAAACTAAGGAAAGAAAAAGTCCTAATAATAGCAACAACAACTTCAGCAGCCTAACTACCAACAGCTAATGATGCTTCAAGCCAATCCTTGTGAGCTGCAGCTATCACCATGTAGTCAGGCATAAGAGTTGTTTTGAATATCCAGAGGTTGCGTGACTTCCATAGCCACCATAGAATATAAGTGCTTAACTGGATTCTGGCTTGTACAACTTCATTCTGATTTAAGGAACTAATGTGCTGCCACCAGGTTTTGAAGGAAAAAGTGAAGTCCTGAAATCCTTCCCAATGTACTGGTGCTTTGTCCCAAATTCTGATTGCTCTTGCACAGGAAAAAAGAATGTGCTCTGTTGTTTCTGGTTTTTCCCCACAGATTGAACATATAGCAGCTATTTCAACTCCTCTCCTTCTCAAATTCATAGCTGATGGTAATGTGTCTGAAATACACTTCCAAATGAAGTGCTTAATTTTTCCAAGCACTTTCATTTTCCAGCACCTTTGAAAAATTTGCTGTGGAGGGAAGTAATTTGTGCTGGCCTCAGGAATGTCCAGCTTAAGAAGCTTCTGATCAATCAAGCAGTTATAAGTGCTGGAAACTGAAAAAATGCCCTTTGAGTCAGGTCTCCACAGCAGCCTATCTGGTCTTGTTGGATTGAGTGTGTTGATCTTAAGGATTGCAGCACTGTCTTCTTTGTCAAAAACCTGTTCAACTAGCCAGCTGTTCCATTCCTTTCCATTGCTTTGAAGCAAATCTTTTACCCAAATCAGATGCCCTCGAGCTAATTCTATCAAAACTGGAGCAGGCTTTTTTAGAAATGGAACCCAGTTTATATCATCAATTCTAGTACTAAGGCCATTTCTGATTTCAGTTCTCACACAGTTAGTAAAGAAAGGCAGCACTGATAGCCAACTGTTCCACAACCACGAACTTTTTTGAGTCCTCTCAGCTTTGAAAATGGAGCTTTCAGGAAAATATCTGTCCTTGAGTATTTGGCTTACCAACAGCTCTGGATTTGTTGAGATTCTCCAAATTTGTTTGCAAATCAAGGCCTCATTGAACAGACCTATATCAAGAAATCCCAGACCACCTTTGAGCTTTGGCAGAGTAATTTTCTCCCACTTCTTCCAATGTATACCAGTTCCATTATTATCTCCAGATTTCCACCAGAAAGATGCACAGAGTTTTGAGATTTCTTTGCAAACTGATACTGGCAATTTGAAGCAGGACATTGAGAAGATGGGAAGAGCTTGAAGGACTGACTTTATCAACACTTCCTTTCCAGCAGATGAGAGAAGTTTACCTTTCCACCCTTGTAATTTGCTGTTGATGGAGAGAAGAATGTATTCAAAAACCTCTTTTTTTGATCTTCCAATGCCCAGTGGCAATCCAAGATATCTAGTTGATCTGTGAGGCACTATCCCTTGAAGAATGCTACAAACACTGTCTTTCACTGCCTGAGGTGTGTTTCTACTAAAGAAAATACCTGACTTTTGGAGATTAACCTTTTGGCCAGTGAACCTCCTGTATTTATCCAAAAGAGATAGAATATGATATGCTTGATCAGCTCCAGCCTTGCAGAATAGAAGGGAGTCGTCAGCAAATAGTAGATGGGTGATAGCTGGACCATTTCTAGAGAGCTTTAGGCCTTGGATGTGTCCTTGAGTTTGAGCATTGATGATGAGAGCAGATAGAAGTTCAGCAACCATGATGAACAAGTAGGGGGACAGAGGGTCCCCCTGTCTGATTCCTCTTGAAGGAGTAATGTAGCCGCTGACCTTGCCATTCACTTTGAAAGAGATTGATGATGTTGAGATACAAACCATTATCAGCTTCACAAAGTCCAGGTGGAATCCCATTTGGATCATTATTCTGTGGATACTGGGCCATTCTACCCTGTCAAAAGCCTTCATAAGGTCTAACTTCAAGGACATGAAAAAATTCTTCCCTGTTGAGTGTCTGTTCAGGAAATGGAAGCATTCTTGAGCAATGATAATGTTGTCCATGAGCTGTCTGCCTTTGATAAAAGCTGACTGATGAGAGCTAATGCAGTCACTCAAGCAGACCATGAGTCTTTGTGCTAGCACCTTGGATAGTGTCTTGTAGATCACACTGCAAAGGCTGATTGGCCTAAAATGAGCCAAAGTTTCAGGTTGAGATATTTTTGGAATCAGAGAGATTATTGAGTGGTTCCAATATTTCAAAATTGCTCCAGATTGGAAGAAACTTTGGATAGCTGCAAACGCATCATCTTTAACCAAGCTCCAGAAATGTTGGTAAAAAAGGGGATTCATGCCATCTTCACCAGGGGATTTCTCAGAGGGCAGAGAGAACAAAGCATTCTTCACTTCTTCTTCAGAAACTGACTTCAAAAGACTCTGATTCATATCATCTGAAATAGTCTTAGGAATGAGATTAATGATTGACTCACCATCCAGGCTTCCTTCTGAGGTAAACAAATCAGAGTAGAAATCTGCTATATGTTGTTCAATGTCTTCTTGAGAAGTTAGGACAGCTCCATTAGGGGTCATCAGTCTGGTAATAGCATTAAGCTTCCTTTTCTGAAGAGTATAGGCATGGAAAAACTTCGTGTTACCATCACTTCCTTTAACCATTTCAATTTTGACCTTTGCTGCCAGTGGAGCTCTTCCTGTCTATGGGCTGCATTGAGTTCAGTTCTTGTACTGTTCCATTGTTCCCAATAGTCAGCTGCCTTGTCTTCCCTCAACATCTCCAGCTTCTTAGTTAAGACTTCTATGGTTTGCTGGTTCTTGGATCTAAACTGAGAACTCCAATGAAGCAATGCAATTCTGGTGTTCTTCACTTTTTCTTTGAGCTTATAAAAGGGTGTTCCTGTTACTGGTTTGTTCCAAGCAGCTGACACAATCCCTTGAATTCCATCCATTTCCAGCCATCTCTTATCAAAATGAAACCTTCTTGGAGTTCTCTGTTGAGTTTGCTCCTGACTGAGAAGGAGCATTGAGTGGTCAGAGGCACCTTTTACTTTAGTGAAAACCACAGCATTGGGGTAATCTAGGATCCAGTCACTTGTTGCAAATGCTCGGTCAAGTTTTTCCTCCACAAGTCCTTCTTCTCCCCTGAGATTGCACCATGTAAATTTATATCCTTTCATTTGTATCTCCTCCATCTCCATGTTATTTATGAAAGTGTTGAAACCCCTGAGACTGCTAGCACTCCTCATTAAACCTCCTGATTTATCTTCCCTCATGCAAATGTCATTCCAGTCTCCCAAAGCAAACCACTTGTTCCCCCAGCTGGCTTTGTCTCTTTCCAACTCTTCCCATTGAATAATCCTGTTTTGCTTACAAGGGCTCAAATAAACAAAAATTCCCCATTGAGATGGGGCTGAATCCAAAACAAATTCTACAGCTATATAAAAAGATTTTTTGATAATATTGATAATGATTACATTTGAGTCCCATAACAAAAGCAAACCTCCACTTAGACCAACAGGGTCAACACAAGAAAACCTATCTACAAATCCCAACTTCCTAGCTACTGATTGAACAAAACCATTATTTTTTTTTTTGTTTCTGATAAAAAGAAAAAAGATGGGTGATGAGCCTTGATTGTCTCTCGGATTTGGGAAATTGTAGAGGGCCCACCCAGCCTTCTACAATTCCACACCGCTGCTAACATTGAGAGTTTGGGTGCCATATAAGGCTGGCATCCCCCACCTGTTCTTGTTTGCCTTTAAGTTTCTTGTTTGCTTCTGAGCCTGAAGGGTTCTGGTCTGATAGATGTGAAGAAGTTGGAGAAACTGCTCTTGGTCTCTTGGAAACTGGTTTATCTTGGATCATCAGCTCTAGCCCTTCATTTCTTTGGAGTCTCCCTTCCCTGCTCAGAGCCCTTTTCCAAGTTTTCTGCTTAGATTCTTGAGATAGCTTTATTGGTTTATTCAGATTAGCCTTCTCTTGAACTGGTGGTAAATGTGGTAGAATTGCTAGTTCCAGCTCCATCATCTTGTGCTGATGCTGATCCTCCACCTCTGTAATACTTAGGTTCAGTGGCTGTTTGACTGGAGATTTTGATGTATTCCTGGCTGATGTATGAAGAGTTGGTGATGCCTCCTCTTGAATAGTATTTGAAGCCACTGTATCTGGTTGAGAATGTTTTGAAGGGTGAGTTTCAACCTGGATAATTTGCTTCCCCTTATCACTGAGTCTTGAAGGGTTCCTGAGAGGAGAACTTGGATTTGGAACCTTACTAGATGATGGTGATCTAGATCCTGAGAGACTTATATCAACCCAATTCTGACCCTCCATTGCTTTTATCCAGTCTCCATACTGACCTTCATTAACTGTGCTAGTTTTGATGGCTTCCAATCTCTTTTTGCAGTTTCTATCCAGATGGCCTATTAGCCCACAATAATAGCAAAGATTGTGCAATTTTTCATATTTGAATCCCACACTAATAATTTCCTCTTCCAGTTTAATATTGGTGCACCGTGGGAGTGGTTCTGTTATGTCCAAAGCTACCAACAATCTCATAATCCTTCCTCCATGAGGACCTGAGCTAGCTATGACCACATTTTGCACTGACTTAAAAATCTTCCCTATCTTTAAGCCAACCTCAGTACTAAGGCAGTTAATTGGAAGATTCCATACCTGAACCCATAGATTAATTGCTTGGAACGTTGGATGGTTACTTGTCAATCCTTTTTCCCATTCCTTCAATATGATGTACTGAAAAA